GCAGAAGTCTCGATCAGCGCGCAGCAGCAGGATGACTGGTGCATCTTTTGCAAATGCTTCGTGCAGAAAAACGCGACCGTGGCCGGGGCGATCTTATCGCAGATCATGTGCGTCGCGATGAACCGTTCCATCGTCGGCGTGTTGCTGGGGATCAAGGGAACGCTGAACAAAACGAAGACGGTCGACGTCGACCCGAACATGCTGTGCGACGTCGAGCGCGGCGAGTGCGTCGTGTCCGACGCGGGCACCGCCGCGCAGGACCTCGCGGACGCGAAGAAGGTCCTCATTGTCCCCGGGTACGGCCTCGCGGTGAGCAAGGCGCAGTACGCGATGGCGGACCTCATCGAGTTGTTGCGCGAGAGCGGCAAAGACGTCGTCGTCGCCGTGCACCCGGTCGCCGGGAGGATGCCCGGGCAGCTCAACGTCTTGCTCGCGGAAGCTGGCGTGCCGTACGACGTCGTGAAGGAGATGGAAGAGGTCGAGAACGACGTGGACAAGTACGACGTCTCGTTAGTCGTCGGCGCGAACGACACGGTGAACCCGAGCGCGGTGGAGGACCCGAACAGCGAGCTCGCGGGGATGCCCGTGATTCAGGTGTGGCGGGGATCCACTCCCTTCCCCGTATCTTCGTTCGTTTTCGTTACATATCATGGTCTACGTGTTCGTTTCCGTCGGTTCCGTTAGATTGACGACGCTATCTCGCGACATCGTCGCGATTTACTCTGCTATTTCATCGCTTCGTCTTGCGTTTCTTCTTTGGCTGCGTCAAGGCGATCTCGTCTTCATCCCGAGCACCCTCGGCATCATCTCCATCTCCCTCCGCACCGCCCGCGGGCACTGTCGCTGTCGCCGTCGCCGTCGCTGTCGCTGTCGCTGTCCACTCAAACTGCTCCGCGATCTCCGGCTGGTACTTGGTGAGCAAATCCTTGAGCTGTTGCGCGTTCTCCGGTTGGTTAGCGATGATCCACTTGATGGCCTTCCTGTTCAGGTCCCGGGTCTCCTTCTTGACAGTGCCGGTGCCGGGATCGGTGTAGATGAAGTAGGATCTTGCCTTGTTGCTGCTGGCTGTGCGTCTCAACTCCATGCGCCAACCCTGGAGCTTCACGATCAGCGCGCTCAACCTGAGCTTCTCCTCGAGCAGTGGCGCGAATTGCACTTTGAGCTGTGCATCGGTGCGGCGAGGGAGGAGCTCCGGCGCAGTGAACTTGCCGTTCTCGACGCAGCCTGTGTGGTACCGTTGCTGGGCGTCTAACACCTCCTGCGTGAGCAGCTTGGTGGTGTCCCGGTCGATCGTGCCCCCGGGGAAGATGCACAGCCCTTGCTTGGCGTCGAAGATGTACCCGTACTCCTCGTACATGGCGCCGCGCATCTTGATGAAATGCTTGACGGAATCTTCACCGCCGCAAGCCAAGCCGCCGTGCAGTACCGCGTGTTCGTGTCCCTTGCGAACGATGCCGATGATCACGTTCGCCGCGTTCACGTCGTGCATCGTGTGCTTGACGTGGTCCGCGTTCCCGGTCTTGTCGCACGTCCGCCGCGGTGGGAAGGGCAAACCCAAGCCATGATGCTTTCCGAGCTCTTTCTTTCTTCCCGAACTTTCGCCCGGGGGGAGCAGTGGCTTCGAGATGATCCCGAAGAGGTCGGCAGCCGTGAAGTTCAACCCCGTCGCACGCAGAAGTTCGGCTTGCAACTCCTCGAGGCTGAATCCGCGGATGACCCCGTCGACGATGATGTGGGTGAACGACTCGCCGCGGGATCGCCACGCGCCCGCGGCACTGCAGAGGTCGTTGTCGGGAAAGAAGACGCCTTTGTGCGGGTACGCGCGGGTTACCGGAAGAGCCGCGGTGTAGATGAACTCCTTCACGCGGATGCCGTGCGTGCGGGTCCCGCAGCCGAAGCGCGGCGCGTACTCAGCGTCTTTGAGAGACTTTTCGGTCATGTCGAGCGTGTACTGGCCTTTCCGCCCTGTCTTCTTCCTCACCACCGGGAACGCGCCGTGGACGACCGTGTCGGTGCCGTCTCTCCATCTCGGGCGGGCGAGGATGTTGATGAACCAGTCCAGCTCGCTAGACGTGAAGTCGCAGAACGCGAGGGAGAAAATTCCTTCACCCAGCGACCCGTCGCCGGCGACTGTCGCGTCCATCCACGACGGCGTGGCGGTAAGCGCGAGCGGGAACAGCGGGTCTTTCTCGAGGTTCTGCGGGAGGATGACCTTTTTGCCGTGACGATTCGTGTAGAACTTCTCCTGGAGCTTCTTGTCGCCGACGGGCGTGGTCGTGATGGCGTACTTCCAAGACTTTGCTCCGTTCGAACACGTGGCTTCGAATCTCTCGATGAATTCGGACTCCATCTTGCCGCCAGTACTGGGTACGGTCTTCCACTGCACGTTGTGGAGGTTGGCGCGTTGAAGATCGGCGTAATCGCGATTTGTCGTCTTAAGCGCAAAGCGGCCAGTGTTAGTCTCGAAGTATGCGTCGCTGCACATCGCGCCGAACCAGTGGCCGAGCTCGTCCAAGGTGTCGATTTCGTACTGTTCGACGATGAGCTCGAGCGTCTCGTTGCCCTGCGCGAGCGCGCCGGCGGAGAACCAGAACGGCAGCGGCCAGTCGTGCTTGAGGTACGCCTTCGCGACGCCGCGCCACGGCGCGTCGATCTTGTCGACGCGGGCGCGCTCCGCGGGCGTGAGTATGCGTCTCTTCAGCTCTGCGGGCTTGGGAACCGATCGGGAGGCTTCATCCTTGGCCTCGTCAGCCGCGCGTTTCTTCGCGGCGGCGACCATCGCGTCGTGCTCTGCTTTGATGTCTCTGACGCACTCGTCATCGGACAGCGGGTCCGCTTCGAACGCCGCGCGCAGTTCGTCGATGGTTTCGTATCTCAGCTTGAACGCCTCCCGCTCCTCGGCATCTCGCGCGGCATTCGCCGCGCGAGCTTCCTCGGCGGCAGCATCGTCACGGCTGCGTTCATCGGGGGATTTACGCTGCTGCCGAGCCACCTTGCCCGCCTCGTAGTTGCGAGTTTCGACGCTGTGCATGTCCTGAACCACCGAGTGGGCACCGCGCGTCACTGCCTTTCCTTTGTATGGCTTTGACTTCGACTTCGTCCTCGCGGCGGGCTTCGCCTTGGACTTTGGCTTTGTCCGCGGCGCCGACGGCGTCGGCGCCGCGGATGTGGCGACGAGCGCGGACGACTGCAGTCGCGGCGGGTTCGCATCGAATCCATCGCCTCCGCCTCGGTCGCGACCCCTCCATCGCGTGCGCGAGGAGACGGACTGCAGCGGCGTCGCCACGGGCGTCGCCGCGGGCGTCGCCGCGGGCGTCGCCGCGGGCGTCGCCGCGGGCGTCGCCGCGGGCGTCGCCGCGGGCGTCGCCGCGGGCGTCGCCGCGGGCGTCGCCGCGGGCGTCGCCGACGTCGACGTCGGAGTTCTCTTCGGCGGGCGGAGGTTGTACCGGGACGGCTTGGCAGCCGTCGCCTGCTGAGCTCGGCTACGCGACGGCGTCGGCGCCGCGGCCTGCGTCCTCGCCGCGGACGTCGACGGGGACGTCTTGATGCGCTTCGCCGCCTTGGAGCCGTGAGCAGAGAGATTTGGCCTCGTCGCGCGCGGGAAGTGCTTCGACGCCGCCGCCGTGGACTCGGACTCGGGATCCACGTCGTCATCGGCGTGCTTCGCGTTCCGTTTGGATCGCGCCGCCGCGCGCGCGTCGCGCGAGGTTGCCGTGGGCGCGTCGCGCGATCTCCCAGTGGCGCGTGCCCTCGCACGCGTGTTGGGCGCATCGCTGCTGCTCCGCGGCGGCGTGAACTCGGTGTCTCTTGGGTCCGCACCGGGCGATGTGACCTCATCCTCCTCGGAGAAGGACGTCGAGATCTGCGCACGAGCTCGCGTCTTCACCACGGAAGCGGCGGTTGAAACGCCCGACGTCGGTGTCGCGTCCGCGAACGACGCTTTCGTCGTATTTACCGAAAACGTCGCAGCCGACGCCTCGGTGTCGTCGGGGAAACCTCTGCGGGAGAGTTCCAGATGGACGATGGCGTTATAGTGCTTCCCGTCCGAGTCGAAGGCGACGGCGATGGTCCCTCGCTCCTGCGGCTGGTCACCACCAGTATCCAAAACGAGCCTCCCGTAGCGCACGTCGATGACCATGATGTCGACCTTGAGCAAGACGGAGGCGGCGTGGAGCTCGGGAGTCCCGCCGAAGATGCCAACTCGTTTCATATTGTCGCAGTAAGAATCGAAATCGAAAGGTCTGTCATGCGGAGCATCATCTACCTGATCGGCTTCGGCTTCGGCTCGGTACGAATTCGGATCACTGCGCATTAGATCCACGACTTGAAGCCGAAACTCAACGTGCTTGTCGCTGTTCCCCGTCATGCACTCGAGCAGCGCGCGAAACATGCAATTCCCATCGCCGCGGGTGTTCAGTATTTTCATCGCGCTCGCCGTGAGGAAGCGACCGATCGCAGCCTGGATTGGCTCGCCCACGGAGCGTAGCTCAAAACCCAAGATATTGTTCCGGAACTTCTTCATGAACGACCGCGGAAAGAACGCCGGGCCCGTGGACGTTTCATCCGCGTTCGGCGACGAGGTGATAGTCTTCGCCCCCGTACTCGAGCCGCCGCCGCGAAGGCAGCGGTTGAGATTAGAGGCGGTCACGAGCGTCGCTGCCCCGGGCGGCGCGGACGACTCGGGCTGCGGCTCCGGCGGCGGTGACGACGCCTCGCTCGGCGCCGTCATCGCCGCCGCGGCCGAAGCCGCCGCGGCCGAAGGCGCGACGGACGACTCGGGCTGCGGCTCCGGCTCCGGCGACGACGCCTCGCTCGGCGCCGTGGCCGTCGCGGCCGAATGCGCGACGGACGACTGCGGCTCCGAGGTCGGCAACGACGCCTCGCTCGACGCCGTGATCGCCGCCGCGGCCTCTACTGTGCTCTCCGCGGCCGCGGGCACGAGCGTCGACTCCACCGCGGGGGAAACCAGAACGGAAGACGGCGTCTCCCCGTGGGTCTCGTCTGTCGCAGTGGACGCCTTTACCGGCGTGGCCTTCGCGTCTGCGTCATCCGGCGTCGGCGTCGCGACGGACGCAGCCGTCATCATCGTCATCATCATCGCCATCATCAGCGCCTTCCACCTCTCCTGGAACACGCACACGCGCCACTTACGCCTCACGGCTCGCGTCCTCATACCCGCTGCGAGTCGCGCGGGCGGACTGTCCGCGGGCGGTCTGAGCGGCGCGGCGGTGCTCACGCTGGTGATCGGCGGCGAGACGACGAGCGTCGCGTGAACGCTGGAACCTTCGACGTCGCCGCAGCCGGACATCACCGCCATGAACGCCTCGGTCACGATCCTGAGCACGGCGACGGACATGGCGACGACGCCCCACGTCACTACGCGCTCGGGCGTCAGCGCTCGTCGAGCGTCGGTGACAGCTGTGCGTGCGTCTCGACAGGTGCCTACTTTCGTCGCCGCGGTCCGTCGCCGCGCGCGCTACTGCACACGCCGAAGACGTCTACCCGCTCCGCGAGCTTGACCTTCTGGAAGCTTAGGAACGTTCGCGCGGCGCGGTAATCGCCATAGCGTCGCTGAGATGTGTGCCGCGCCGCGGTCGTCCTCTGTCTGCGCTTGAGCGACGGAAGAGAGTCAGAGCCGACCGCGAGATCGTCGAGACGGATCTCGCCCACGACGAACGCTCGCGGGGTTTAAATAATGCGATTCTCCGCAGTCGATCGTGGCAGACATCACGCAGATGTCGTTCAGACTGTGCGCGGACACCACGGGCGTTCGAGAGACTGCCGCGCGACGTCGCTGCTGACCGGAATCGCCCGCGAAAGAAAAAGCGTTCCGGAAAAAATACGAGCTCGCGATTCCGAAGAGGGGGGGGGGGTGCGCGAAGCCGTGTATAATTGCGCTATGACATCGTCCGAGAGCTCGCGTACCTGTCTGCGCTGATTAAGTTCGCGGCTTCGACTCGCGTTTCCGTGCGCGAGAGCTGCTGGCGCGCGGGCGGGGAGTGCGGTCACGCGGAGCGATGGCCACAGCTCACTGATTATTTTCACGAAACGCACGCGCACGGGCACTGCGCGGGTTGACGGGCACAGCTGTCGCTGTCGAAACGAATTCAGGTCGAAATCCGAGTCCGTCCAAAGTGGCGATTCGGCGCGGGAGACGAGACCGCGAAGGGCGTGCCCGACGTCATGTAGGGCTACGCGCTCGGTTTACTCCCGTCCGACGCGACGGAGAAGCGGCCGCTGTCCTGGGCGCCGCCGCCGTCGCCGCACGAGGGGGCGGGGACGGAATCGGAATCGATCGCGCTCGACACCGACGCGCTCGACGAGGCGCTGTCGCTCGCGCGCGAGGGCGTCGACGGCGTCGGCGAGCGGCGGAAGGTGTGGTTATCCTCCGCGACGCTGGTCGTGTTGCCCCCGGTGTTGATATCTCACTGGCTCGAGCAGATGGCGTTCGTTCTGTTGTAAGTTTTGGAGACGACAACTAATTGTTGAGGGCGCCCCACGCCCTCGCGCACTCGCGCGCGCGCGCCTCCCCCGCGGGACGAGGATGGACGTCCTCGAGGACGCCGCGCGCGTCTTCGCCGCCGCGCGCGATGCCCTCGCCCCGACCGCGGCGGCGGCGCGCGCGACGTGCGACGACGCGCGCCGCGCGTGCGACGACGCCTCCGCGCGGCTGCGCGAGACGACGACGCGCGCGTCGTCGTCGTCGTCGTCGTCGTCGGACGGCGCGCTCGACGCCGCGGCCGACGCGACGCTGTCGCTCGCGCGCGCGCTCACCGAGCGCGCGACGTCGCCCGCGCCCGACGTCCTCTTCGCGGTCGTCGCCGGGACGCACCTCGAGCTGTCGCGCGCCGCGGACGCGCTGCATCGATGCGACGCGACGCGCGAAGATCCCTCGACCGTCTCCCACCGCGTCGCGACCGCGTGCGCGTCGCGCGTCGTCCGCCGCGCGCCCGCTCTCGTCGCGATCGCGGCGTCGCGCGTCCGCGAGATCCCGGGCGACGAAACGCGTCGCGCGTCGTGCGCGCGCGCGATGACGGAACGCTGCGCGGTCTTCGCGCGGCGGCATCACGCGGCGTACCGCGCGTTTCGCGTGGCGGTCGCAGAAGGTGCTCGTGCTGAAGCGGTCGCTCGCGGGCGGGTACGCGGACGTGGAGAACCCGCTGTTCTTTAACTCGAACACGAACATGACCGATGGCGTCGTGTACCGTTCATAACTTATTTACATTCCCGACGGACGACGGACTGGTTCCCATACGACCGCGAGCGCAAGGTGAACGCCGTTCCTTGAGGACTCACTCTCTCACTCTTCGGACGCGCCCGATTCGCAGAGCCGCCGCGCCGCGAGCGAGCGGCGGCGCAGAGCGCAGCGCGCGGCGGCGGCGGCGCCTCGCGAGGGCCGCGGCGCGGCGGCGACGGCGAATCTCATCGATGATCATGGTGATGGATGATGATGACGACGTGACGACGACGACGAGCGCGTCGCCGCGCGCGACGAAGTCTCCGCGAGTGCCGGCGCGAGGGAACGATGGTGGTGGCGGCGGCGGCGGCAGCGTTCGCGCGAGCTGGCGGATGACGGGCGACCTCAACCTTCCGTGGCGCCCGAGGATCGATCTGACTGGGCAGACGACGTTAGGGTTTATGGACGCCGGGGTCGAGCGCGGGTGCTTGATCGTGAGCTACCGCGAGGAGTGGGGGGTATCCGCGCTCGACGCGGTCGCGCAGCTCGTCGCGCCGTTCAAGTGGTAGAGAGGTAGCGCGGGCGCGTAATATTTTTTCTTTCACTCGAGCTCGCGCGCGCGCGCGGCGAAGCCGTCGCGCCCCCTCGCCGCGCGTTCCCACCCGTCCGACATCGAACCCGCCCCACGCGAACGACCGCACCGACGCGACGCCCACGACGCGCCAGCGCACGTCGTGACGCGGCGATGTTTGCGCGTGGGCGAGGACCGAACGAGCGGACGCACACCGCCTCCGCGCGCGCCGCCGCCGCGTGCGCGCGCCGGCCGACGTCCGTCTCCCACGCGTCTCGTCGCGTCGTCCCGCGAAACGCACCCCCCCCGTGGCTTCCGTCGACGCGACGGCGGCGGCGGCGGTGTCGGCGCCGAGCGACGCGGCGTCCATCGCCGTCGCCGCGTCCTCGCGCGGCGTCAGCGTGCCCCCCGCGTCGCGAGCGTCCGCCTCCGCGCGCGCCGCCGCCGCGTGCGCGCGCCGGCCGACGTCCGTCTCCCACGCGTCTCGTCGCGTCGTCCCGCGAAACGCGCCCCCCCCGTGGCTTCTGTCGACGCGTCGTCGTCGTCGCGAGACAACCCGTGCGCTTCGAAGTAGTGCACGATGCCGCACGACTCGCAGCGGCGGCGTCAAGGCACATGCTGTCCTCCTCCGCGTGACACACAATCACGTCGATCCCAGCCTTGGGGAGGTCGGGGTCACCCTCGGTTCGCCGGCGAGGCGCCGGCGACGCCGGCGGCGACGCCCTCGTCCCGACCCCGGTCCCGGGGTCCGTCCGACGCTCACGGCGGCGGCGGCGGCGGCCGCCGGCGGTGGCGGCGGCAGCGTACCCTCGATCCTCACGACAAAATGCGATCGTGATCGGGATCGCGGACTCAAAATCGGCCTTAACCTTCGCGAACTCGCGATCATCCCCGCTCCGTCGGTGGGTGTCGGACCTTCCGAAGTCCGACCCCGATCCCCCCCCCCCTTCCGCGGGCGTTCCTCTCGCGGCGGCGGCGACGACGGCGCCGATGGTCAACTTCGGTCACGGGACCTCAATTGTGATGATCATCTGCGAAAATCTGAGGTGAAGATCGCAGCCAAGACGATTCGATATGCGTCGTCGTTCGACCTCATCCGCGTCTTCGGGTCGTCGTCGGGCTCGCCCGAAAAAGATGCGAAAGCGCCCCGCGGCGACGGCGTCACGGGCGCGCGGGCCGCCGCGACGACGTCGCGGCGGTCGCGCACAGCGCGCGCCCAGCGCGCTGTGCGCGCGCGCTGTGCGCGCGTCGCGGCCGCTTCGCGGCCGCCTCCGCCGCCGCCTCCGCCGCCGCGACGCGCGCTGCCCGCGCGCGGGGCGGTTTGATCGATTCCGCGCACAGAGCAGGAACGAGCCTTCACGTCGCGGGGAAAAACGGCGACAGCGAACTGCGTCGGCTCCGAATCGGAGCCGACGGGATTCGCCGTTGCGACGGCGCCTGTCAACGGCGCGACGTGACGTGGGTTTTGGTTTCAAATTTATTATCGTCGCTGTTTTTCACCCCGAAAACGGCGACGGCGGAATAATAAATTTTCTCTACTGTCGTTGCTTCTGAAATTATCGCGCATCGCGTCTTCCTCCCACTCCTCCCACGCCCCCGAGAGATACTTCTCGCCCCGCGGCGCAGTGCCGCGCGTCTTCCAGATGAAGTTCTGAAGACCGCACGCGGCCGCGAAAGCGGCTCCGAAGTGGTTCGGCGACTTCGTGTACGTGGATCCGGGGCAACCCACCATCGGGAAGTTTCGCTTCACAACGCCGATGGAGTACTCCACGACGAACCGGTGTCGACGTTGCGCGTCCGCGGCGCGTTTCTCCTCCGGCGTCTTGCACTTGCTCTGATCGGGCGCGACGTCCAGGTTCGGGTCGGCTCCGATGTACCCCGGGTCGGCCCCAAGTTTCTCGCCCTCCGCGAAGTGCGCGTCGCGATCGACCACGGGCGCGGAATATTTCCAAATTGTCATGTCGTGAGCGCTCCCCGAAGCCGCGGGTTCGACCGCGATGATGACGCCGAATAGGTCGACCACGATCTGGATGTTTCGGCAGTGGTTTTTAGTCTTCCCGCTGTATTGAATCCCTTGCCCGACAGTGGGTTTTTGCATCTTTACGCGCGTCCCGTCGACGTATCCGAATATCCCCGGCATCCCCCAGATTCCCCGCGACCTTTCTTTCCTCCTCGCTCGGCCATTCCACCGTCTTATCCGGCCCATCGATCAGCACGAGCACGAGATTCTCCGCGACATGCGGGTAGGGCCTACGTGTTCCCTATCAGCTGGTCGTAAAAAAATATAAGTTGCCTTCTCAAGTCATCGTCACGAATCCGTCATCGCGTCCGCCGTCTCCCCCTCCTCCCCCGAACACGCGCATTCTCCACCACCGCGACGTCCCCCGCGGCCGGCACGCCACCCCGAACGCGACGCCTATCGCCGCCCCCGCGAGCACGTCCGCGGGTCGATGCTTGTAGTCTGTGATCCTCGACGCGGCGACGTATGAGGCGAACGCGAACGTCAGACAACTCGCCGCGCTCGCGGGGCTGACGCCGTTTGGTAATAACCCCCGTAACCCCCTCCCCTCGGCCGTTTCAGACGCACCCCTCCGACACACCCCTCGGCCGAACCCCTCCGACAGCGCCATCGCGGTGTACGTCGCCGCGACGAACGACAGCGCGGCGTGGCCGGACGGGAACGACAGCGACGCCTCGTCCGTCGCCGCTTCGTTCGCCAAACAGTGCGCGCGGTCGCCGACCGCGCCCGCCGTCGTCGCCGCCAGGTACGACGCGTAGTCGCCCGTCGCCATCGCGGTCGCGTAGCCCTTGTAATCGCACGCCGCGAAGAAGTTCGGTCGCAGCCGCCCGACGAACGCTTTCAGGCCGTTGTACGTCCCCATCGTCAGGCACAGCGCCTGGACCGCGCCCGCGAGCTCGAACAGCGACGCGACGAGCGTCGCCTCCTTCGCGCGCGAATTAAAATTTGCGTCGGACGGCATCATCGCGATGCCCCCTCCCGCGGCGGAGTCTTCGCTGTCCGTGTCGCGCGCCGCTCCCGACGCGATTACGCGTCTCCCCGCGACGACGCGTCTCACCGCCACCGCCGCGATCGCGAGCGACGGGAACGCCACCGCGGTGACGCCGAGCCACGCGTTCGAGACGGTCGACGCGAGGTTCGGATGCGACAGCGACGGGTCGCGCTCCACGAAGAACTGATCGTGCGACCGCCACGCGTCGACGTTGAGGTAGAGCGTCAGCGCGTAGATCGCGGCGAGCGTCGCGAAGATCGCCTGCGTCTGGAGCGCCTCGCGCGCGTATTGCGGCGGGAGGACGCGAAGCTCCATCGCGACGACCAGACGACGGCGCGGGGCGCGGGGCGAGGGGCGCGCCGTGCGAAATGCTGACGCGAACATTCATTTCGTCGCGTCGCTCGCGTCGCCTCTTCCGACGAGACCGCTCCTTCCGCCGCCGCCACTTCGTTCCTCCCGGGCGGCGGCGCGCGTACCGCGCGATGGCGAAGAAAGGCCGCGTCGCGCGGATTCTGACGACGCTGCATCGCGTCGCCGGGACGCCCGTGTCCGAAGCGCTGAAGCGAAGGCAGCGCAGCGCGGTGCAGCGCGGCGACGCGGGGACGCGCGAGCGCAAGGACAAATCGCGGTGG